AGGCAGGGGAAGAGAGAGAGAGAGAGACAGAGTGAAGCCGTAGCCGTAGCCCAGCGTTTCCAAGGTGTCAGATGAACTTGGCATGTTGATCCTGGACAAGAGCGACCAGGACCTAACACCAAGGTAGGCCATGCAGAGACATGCCTGAAGCGTCACCACAAAACTCTTTGAGGAACTGGCATCTGGTTTTTTTGGGCCCTATGGAGTCGTGTGGCACGAGGGTCCGGGCAGGGAGAAAGGCGAAGTCTTCGACAATTTGGACAAAGCCAAAAACAGGTTTGCAGAGCTGGTTAATGGCCCTTATGCCGCCATGCTGGCCGACAGCAGGTCGAACGAAGTGGACTACTACGGAGGAAGCGTGCCTTTTTTTTGACCCCGTGCCTAATCTGGCGGCTTGCAAAGTCTTGTTGCTCGTGTATGCCATGGGACCTGGAATGTTTGCAGGAGATCATGTCAAGGGAGAGCTGGTAGAGTTTTGGCATCAGCTGAAGGCAGATTGCAGTTGTTGGCATCTCTAAGCTCTTTCAAGTACCTTCGTGTGCTTGAAGCTGCTGCGCAGGCATCGGCTAGCCCTTATTGGGTTTTGTGGCACGTGGACTGGCAACATGTGGAAGGAGATCACTTCGGAAGCTATGGTGCAGCCCAGGACAAGTTTGACGAGATGCATGGCGGACCGTATGCCACCATGTTGGCTGACAACAACTTCAAGGAGATGAAGTACTATGGAGGACGTGGTCCCCGCCCGGGTGAGATGAGGGAGTTCTGGCAGCATGAACAGGCGCGAGTTTGAACAGCACGAGTGGTTTAAATGTCTAGCAGTGCAGATGCTTTGCAGAAGGCCTGCATCAGCATGGAAGTGACGGCGATCAAGATAAAAGAGCGCAGCCCGGCTGGTTCTAGTGCTGATTCTTGCTGAGTTGCGTGCTTACTTCTCGTTCTGATCAGGTCGGCAATGTCTGGAAGTTGAGTTTGTCCGAGCCGGCAAAACAACAGACGAAGACGATCGAACATTCATTTTGCAACCACGCGAGGCTGGGTTGGGTTTAGGGATTAGTGCGAGCACATGGAAACCCTGAGCTTCAGGTTGTGACGGAAGTCCGCGGGGCACAAACCGAGCACTTGCTGGGAGTGCAATTTGTGACAGACCAGGGCCGCGAGTCTTCTATGTATGGCGATGATAGCACAGGCAAGAAGTTTGCGTTCAAGGCACGCTCGCAAAGCTTTCAGTGCTGTGCATCGCATGCTTCGCGACATGGCGGGTTGATGCTGCTCAGGCCCAGCCCGACCAGTTTGTGGCCGGCTTGCTCCTTGCTTCCGGAGCTTGTTCACGGATAACAGGCTTGTCGGGGTGCCGAAAGAAGGCTATCGATCCCTCCCTCAAGTTGCAAGACTGGATGGGAAGCAAAGGTGTTTGTGATCGCTGGGGGGGCATCTCCGTCGATTCTTATTGCAAATGCACGCACGACAGAAGGATTTCTCAGAGGTGTGGTTGGCCCCTCGAGTCAGATGCTGCGTGGGTACCAGGCGGATGCTTCAAAGGAACCTGCAGATGGTGGGACGCCTCCTGCAAATGTGAGGATGATAACGTTATATGGAATTATGAATCGGTACGGTTGCCAACGACAGATGTTGGCGTCGCAGCAGTCGATTTCTGTTCTCGGCTTTTTGAGGAGGTCACCAAGCAGCAGTTGAAGAACGGAAAAGTCTATTATGGAATGTCTCACACCAATGCAAATGAGTTGCCGGGCATCCTATCACAAAGCGTCAAAAATACTTTGCGTGACCACAATGCAGAGCAGTACTGCAAAGCGGCACTGTCTGGCAGATATGGAAAGTCCGACGTTCGCCCCGCCGTGGACCAACTTGTCCACCGTGATCAGCAACCGACCACGACGAAGGCGCCCTCGCGATACACAGAGATCGTGAAGATTGAGACGGAGAGCACCTCAGACAAATCCTCATGGCAGAATTCGTTGCAACACGTCTGCCAAGAGGAGTGCAAGGAGATTCTAGCTGCTATCAAAGACAATGCTAGCCATATTTTCCTTCAGGAGGTGATGCGCATTGAGCCGTTCGAGTCGGCATGCTCTGACTTCGTGGTCAAACGAGTGGAAGCACACTTGATGGGCTGTTGCGAGAAGGCTTGCGGATGGAATGGCCGGGTGTGCACCTATTGGCCGTTCATGAGGCAGCCATCAAAGGTGAGGTGGCAACAAGAATGCTGCTCTGAGTGTCTGAGCGAATGATCGGCATGCTTCATTGTTTTGCTGCCGAGGTCTGAGCAAGCTTAGATCTAGGATAATGTGATATGACAAGCTTTTGGTCTTAGTTCGTACCTTTGCTTGCAAGGTGGAACACCATTCGCTTCTCGGACCGCGAGATCATGTGTGATAGTGTGCTGCCAAAAGAGAAGCGCACGCTCATGGAGCTTATCGATGCAGCTACAAAAAACAATGGCCAGGCCTCTGAAATTGGACAGGATCTGCAGCTCTTTTGGACGGAGATGGGTGCCAAATCTCGATTTGGCAGACTCGCCTGGGCGCGGCCAAACACAGAAGTCAATCCGGATTTCCTGTCCTCGCAGCCTCTCACTGTGAAGGAGGGTGCTGATTTGAAGTTCTGGGAAATCAAAGTCGTCCCCCGACCCGCTATGATCCAACTCAAAGCTGGCGCAGCTCAACCAGTCGACTGTACTCAGGTATTCAAGAGTTGTGGCGAAGTGGCAGCTAGCTTCAAGAGCGACTGTGCAGAAAAGGACAAGTGGTACGACCTTCCTCCGTCGGAACTTACGAATCTCATGGCCGTGTTGAGCTCTACCGTCCTCAAGGAACCGCAGGATCCCATCCAGTGCCACCAGGAGTTCGTCAAGAGTTACCATCCAACGGGCACTGTCAGCGCGACTTTTGAGATGAAAAATAAAGTATGCAGACTTTATCGTTACCCCAGTAATCCAGAAGATCCAGAAGAGCCGCAAGACACGTTGAAAGAAGCGCTGGGGAATGCTGCGGAGCAGATGGAGGTTGTGGGCCATGTCCTGGACGTGACCGACATGATCTTCATAGCAAAGACACTTGAGGGAGCGAAGGAATCCTGATCGGAACAAAACCTCGCGACAGGGTCATGCCAGCATCACCTAATTTGCACATCTTGCTGCCAGCAAGGACAGACCGGGTTCCACGAGGGTTTCCATGGGCGTTTTGGAGCCTCCAATATGTTTTGATGATTGATTCGTGGCTTCAAGGCAATGGTCGACTGCAGCCGAGTTGCCCTGAAGCTGCAAAACCACATATTTCAAGTCACCACAACAACTGGTAATTAGGATACGGGTCATGGTTCGAGGGTTCTTTAGACTGTTGGGCCGAAAGCCATGAACCCATGCTCTTGAATTTTCCAAGTTCGCGGTTTGAGCAGGGTTCCCAAGCTCTTCGCGCATCCCCAAAAAACTCATAGCTACTGGCGGGCACCTTTGCCTCACCGCCCTGCTTCTGCTGGGCAGCTTGCAAAGAGGCTCCAGGGTCGATTTGAAGGTTGAAGGTTGCCGTACACCCTATGTGAAGTGGATGAGTAGCAAGTTGCCGTAATCAGCTGAGCCTCTCTGTGCAAGCTTTCGATGCTTGGGTTGAAAAACTTGATATCCTAAACCCTACACTCTAAACCTTAAAGCCCAAGCTCTGAACCCTAAGCCCCAAACTCCAAACTCTGAACCCTAAGCCCTAAGCCACGTTGTTGGCACATGGTTCTGTACTTCTTGTGCATCTGCTTGAAGCTGTTCGTAATATCCCGAATCCGTGTGACTGTCTTTTGTGCCGTGGCAGGCGGCTGCATGACCAGCGTTTTGCTGCCCCTCAGCTGGCTTCGGGTCCTGTGCGACATTTGCAGTTTAAGATAGTTGAAGGGGTTTAGGGTCTAGGGTTTAGGGGATTTAGCTTTAGGGCTTGGTTTCTCACTAGATTGCCACACGGCGTAGTTTCTGCTCCCATCGTGGAGTCGAGACGAATTGTGCCGGACACGGTGGCTTAAGAACATGCAATCAGTGTTTTGAGCCAGCAAAGACAGATGAGTTACACTTTAGATTTTAAGTCACCTCCAGAATCAATCCCGGGAGAAGCATGGGCAACAATTTGGCCGAAGATTCCCACAGAGACACAGTTCGTCAGTCTACTGCTTACAGCTTTGCCGTTCTTTGTTGACGCTTCTATTAGCTTATCATCAGCCAATTTTGCCCACTCTTTCGCTTTCTGACTGTTTGTCAGTTTGTCCTGATAATTCTCTTCGCGGCCTGATGTTGGCCGCATGCGTTTTCGGTTCGCCTGTCCCGGCTGCTCCATTGCCGCGCCCGGCCGCTGGTTTTTAGCTTGGTTACAGAGTTTGTTAAGCAAGAGTGTACATCCCAGAGTAAACTCAAAGCATAGTCTCGAGAAGAAGCGCGATGTTAGCGGATATGCACGATATACCTTGTGTATCCATGCTAGAGACCAGGACAGCCGGAGTTCTTCTTGTGAATGTGGTTTTCAGTGTAACTATCACCATCGACTTCCTGACCATTGTCTGCCAGATGCTTTCTTCATCCATCAGCATTCTAGTCGTCGTACTCGTCACCATTGTCGTCACCCCATCATCATGATCACCACATCATCATGATCACCATGGCCATCGTTAGCTTCATCATCGCCGCTGCCGCCATCAACCACCAACATCGTGTCCATTCCTTTTCATCATAATCCTCTTCGTCATCTTACGTTCTTCTAGACTTTAAACAGGTGCGTGTAGCCCTTCGGCAGGTATGCCTTCGCCGTGCTGGACAGGCGCATGGCCTCAACACTATTCTGGCTATCATGATCATAACGCTGATGATGGTGACATCATGCTGATGGTGATGAGTACGACAAGTATTGCGATTGGTGAAGGTAATCGTTGTGTGAATGACAATGTTGACCGTCAGAGTCAGAGGTCAACCATTGCAACAACGAGCATCATGATCAAGCAATTTCGATGGTGGTGATGATAATGCTGATGATTTGGTGGCAATGCTGACCATGGTACCGAGGAGCGAGATGGTTATTGTCCTGATAATGACTTATGTCGATTGTCATCACCATCTCTCTCTCTCTCTCTCTCTCTCTCTCTTTTCTCTGCCTGTAACATCGTCGTCATCCTCCGCCTCATTATCATCCTCGTCATCTACATCTGATAATGTATTCGCATGTCAACGATCAATCTCAACTATGCAGTTCTCACCTGCTCCCGCGTTGCCTCTTTTCTTCTCGAAGATTTTTAAACAGACTTTGCTACGTACAAAACGAACGATAGATCCGGGCCTTTTCACATCGCTCGCCGACTATTCGCTGTTGGAAATAACGGCTCCACTCTAATCATTATAAAATCTCGTCTAAATATTGAATATTTTGAATATTTGATTGTTTCATTATCGACGAATTAATTTTGAATATTTGAATAAAATTTTCTTAAGAATTCGATTTTTTATGATTTCAATTCGTAAATATAGAAATAGTCGAATATTTCAAATTTCTGATTATTTTTGAATATAAGAATTTCGAAATATAATAGAATATAAAATATTTCAATATAGAAATTCAATGATATAAGAAAGAATTATTACATGAGATATAATACTCGATATAAATATTAAAGATACAGATAGAGAATTATAAATGATTTTTTCGCGATTTACTATTCGACTCAATAAAAAGCTACTTATTCTAATAATTTGTATTCTATTTTCATTTTAATATGATCTTATTTCTCATATAATTCGTATATATAAATATTTAGAATATCTATATATTTAATATATATAGATTATTTATTGATGATTCTATATTTTTTCTTTTATATTATTTTATCGTCTTATTTATTATCGATGATGATACGAAATTCTAAAGTTTGATTTTTTATAATATATATATATTTCTATTTTAGTGAGGATTATCTATTTTTTGTCGATTTGTTATGGTTACGATTATAAATTGATTTATACTGGTTAAATACGGACGATATCGGTAGAGATATATTTTTGAAATAGAAAATTGATGATCGTATTAAATTAGGTTTTTTGTTGGTATATAGGCTTCGTATTAATGTTGTAAGTCTAGTTCGTCGGATTAGGATTCGTGGTCTCTGAAGATATAAACCTTTAATTTAGTAGTTAGTTTTAGCGTTAGACATAGCTTATATATGTCGGATATTATGGATGGGGGCATTACGATTTAAATGATTTAGAGAGATTATAAAATCCGGGCCAATCTCATATGATTGCCGAAGAATTTTTTGACAAAAGAATATTATATAAGATTTTCTTCGAGAAGATCTCGGATTTACGTGCCAAAGACTTCTGATGCTTTTCGATATTATTAAACGAAAAAATACGTAGAAGAAGACACGAACCTTAAATTACGAGCACTCGTCTTACTACTATTGTTGCACTCTTTACTACTATTCTGAGGAATTCCGATCGCACAATTTATGGGAACATGAGGAGTTGCGCCTAAGAACGAAAATCCTGATGGAATATCATAATCTCTAAAGCACATATAAGAACCTAAATTCAATTTTGGCAGGCAATATACGGCATATAATATAAAAGGAGATATCTAGCTCGAATATATATTTATCAAGCTAAGCAACGATTCATTATCAATATCGGTATAATCTTACGAATCCATTAGAATATCTATCGCGAGAATATAACAATCATCTCATTATTCTCCAAATAACAAATAATATTGCATTTATGTCCATAGATTCATTATCATAAAGATTTTCGATAATTAAAATATTCCTAAGAAATCACAAATCAGAATATTTGAAGAAATAGATTCATTAGAATATTTATATATATTTATCGGCCAATTATAATGAAGAACAAATAAATATATCACGCTCCCTTCAAAAAATATATCAGAATCTTCCGAATTGAAAATATTTTATTCGCCGAATCAAATTTCCATCAATTCTTATTTACAAAATTATTCATGAAATACTTTGCTAAATTTCAATAATATAACACTAGAACGGATCCGCTGCTTCCAGAAGCGGGGGAAAGGAGGCTGCAAGCCATTTTTCCATTGAAATATTTGCTGCTTCCAACGACGGAGAAAGCGCCTATAAGCTACTTGATTATTGAAATATTTATTAGTAGGTAGATAGATAAAAAAATCCCCACAAGTAGAGAGATAGAAATCTAGATAATTAGATAAATAAAGATAGATAGAGATAGACAATCAGACAGATAGACAAATGGACAAATATACAAATAAATAGAGATAGATAGATAAATAGATATAATTAAAGAGATATAAATAGACGATAAATAGACGAATATATAGAAAATAAAGATATATATATATATTGATTTCTGTTCTTTCCAATATATGTCCGTCCAAAGATTCTTCGATATAACGACTGCCATTATTATTCGATATTTGAAAATTTGTGAAATATTATCATGACGGCAGCAAGAGGTACGCGCACATATGCCATCATTTCCACGGGCAACTGATTTGCTTTAGCGAGAATCCGAAGATAAAAATGAATATTCTGAATATCTTCTCGATTCGTATCATAAATGACCTATCTCAAAGGCGCTAGGATATTAGACGGGCAATTCGTATATTTCGATCAATATACTTCTCTAGATATACTGACAAGCATAGATAGAGATTCATTCTCGAATAAAATATCAAAATATTTTCATTTTTTTGAATTGATATATCATAGCCAAAGACCTTATCTTTATCTAATTGAAATCTAAGAAAATTATTCTTGCCGGATCCTTAAATATCTTCTTTAAATATTTGACGACAATATATATATATATTTTTTTTAACGACAATATATATATATAATATAGTATTCTTAAAAATATATAAAATATTTCATCATATTTAAGCAATAATAGATATTTTATTTAGATTAAAATAGAATTTATCGTTATTCTCAATATCTTCAGAAAACAAATCAAATCCAATTTTATATGCCGATTCGATTTCAAATCAAGAAATATATTTATCTTTTTCGTAGCTCTAAAAAAGAATATCGAACTATCTATCTTAAAGATAAATTAAGAAATAAATT